ACGCGGCGACTCTGTCCACATACGGTGCGTGCTAAAGTTGCTAGCGAACCTCTGTGGATCTGACGTAAAGGCTTTTAAACAACGAATTCAGCCAATTTTAAACAACAATTCAGCCATAACAGCTACCATAAAGCTCGGTGCGGTAATAACGTCCTTGCCGGCAGCGGGCATTCTCTTTATGACCGCGTAAGCACCTACATATATTAACATATTCATATAAGTTAGCTTATACTAAATCTTTCTCTTCAGTAATACTTTGCTAAGGTCTACGAACAGGAACTGAACGATCCCTAGATAAAGCCTGATCAGTTCGTTTGTCATGTGTTTTACTCTTTAAAGGAACACTGCTTGTTATTAGACATGATTGAATAAAGATCAAAAGATTCCAAGCAAATATGTAAGTAAATAAAATGAAATATGAGATGTTTGCCCCACTTGAATTGGAAAATCTGAAAAATCAGAAATACGAAAGATTGTTGTCGCTGAACCTCTTAAAATGTTGTTATTGTAATCGATTTGGACATTCGTCCATTTCGTTAGTTTTTGTAAATGAAATTGAGTAGTATATTTACGACTGTTGCTGTTGTATTTTTTTGCGTGTTATTAAATTATCCGTCTCATTCTTGATTTGTCTAGTTGAATGATGAACGCGAGGCGCGTGGTGTGACGATATGATGCTGCTGAGATGCAGTGAATTGTATTGTTTTTTCAGCGATGGCACAGACGTATCAACAGCAGCGAGAGGGCGGCGGAGACCAGAATTTTGACTACATGTTTAAGATCCTGATCATCGGCAACAGCAGTGTCGGCAAAACATCATTTCTTTTTCGTTACTGCGATGATTCGTTCACGTCGGCGTTCGTCTCTACGGTCGGCATCGACTTCAAGGTGAAGACGGTGTTTCGAGGCGACAAGCGAGTCAAACTTCAAATATGGGTAAGTAAGCATGCAATCCATGTTTCTTCTTATTTACCACCTGCAGCTTTTCTGTCGTCGATTCGATCGAGAGATCACTAAGCATAACGAGGTGTTTGTCCTGAATGTTTTAAATCTAAAATTGCTCATTCTTATTGCTGCCATGTGAATTTTCGATCATATTGATTTTCTGTATTAGCTATCGCTAATTATCTGATAATTATTGATTAGTAATGAGCGTAGGAAAATCAGCCGTGCAAAAAGCCGTCCTTCATAGATCTATGATCAGTCGCTGCGA